TCGAGCTGCAAAGTATATAGATAATCATGATGGGATAGACAATGCAAAGTATCCGATCATGAGTGGAAAAAACTTGATAACAAGAAGGTGTTCTTCTGGGCAGGATTGTCTGTCTACCAAATCAAATGAAATTGGGCTTAGAACTTAAATAATCTTATGAAAGTCTTTTAGTGAAAAGAAAAATAAAAGAAGCATGTTATTTCTCACTTGAGGGGATTCATAATCTCCATTAACACATACTGGGAGGCAATAAGGGGAACCGGTAAAACAAGATACGCGATAGTGTCAGACCAGTCCAGTGGTGGATGACCATCCTACACCACCGAAAGATATTAGACACCAAAATGATAAAAGGCTCGTTTCACAACAAAGTTGAGTTCATGTATATAGATTTTAGTATAAGAAAATAGCAAAATCGGAAACTGTATTCATGCAGGTTATGGCGAGCAGTTAGAGGCTGTTCTTTTATTCTCTCATTACCACAAATGGAAAAAGCCAGGATATGCCGGATCCACCCAGAGAGGGAATCCAAAAGAAACCTTCTGAAAGGAGGCCCTACAAGTAAAACGTATTTTAAACAAAATTAGAATATATATAAACAAAAAGTAAACCAAAGCTACCAAGTAACTTTTTTGGTCTATAGCAAAACCAGTAGTTAAAAGAGACATAAGGCATATCATGTACCTCGTTGGCCACGTTGGAGAGAGCTTGGTATAAACCAATCCAAACTGGTATGGTGGCTAAAGTTGGCAAGCAACATATCATCAGAGTAACAAGATATTGTATGCAATCAGCACAACTAAAGAAGAAACAAGTGAAAATTACACAAAATAAGAACTTCTAGAAACATACCTGCTAATGGATTTACACCAGCTTGTTTATACAAGCGTGAAGTCTCTAGTTGTATTCTCTCCTTAGTTATAGAAAAAACAGAACAAACAGTCAGACTCTGTCATCCAGAGTAACTCATTTCAAAAGCCAAAAAGATCACCTGATTGCCTGCATAACGTTGTTGAACGGCTTTAATTTTTGGTTGAAGATTCCGCATCGCGAGTGTCAATTCAACTTACAAAGTGAAAATTCCTAAGCCAATGATTCCAAAACAAAGCATAATCTATTAAGCAATTCTCCCAAACTCCTATTCAACATGCCAAAATGACAAGAATATCAGCAAATGCTACTCACCTGTTGCTTTGTCAAAGGATATGTTGCTGCTTTGACGATAATGGTAAGCAAGATAATCGCAAATCCACAGGCGTATGGCACATGAACTGCCATAAGTCCATCCTTCAAAATCTAAAATTCCAAATAGAAGAAACCTACCTTAAGCAAAAACAAAAATCTCCGTTACATAAACAGCTCGGAATCAGGTGATTGAATTTACCTTAAGCACCAATTCCATACTGTCAGAGATGAAGCGAATATACTAGTTTGTTTCATAGATGAAACTTTCATCTAGTTTGTTTCTCTTCTCAAGCTGCAGAGTGAGTCTCTTCTTGAAAACTGCAGAGTGAGTCTCTTCTCGAGCTCAACCAAGCTGGAATTATGTAAAGGAACATGAAAGTTATGCTTGATGAGAAGAATCATATCAGTTTCTATTATGTAATAAGTATTTTTTGGGAAGATGTGAGAGATGCGAATAGAAATATAAGAAAGTTAGAAAACCTTGTGTTGAAAACATTGTGTTGGCTTCTTCTTGCGCAACATCAATCCATGTCTTGATCTGCTCGGAGACGACGCCGAAACATCAGGCAAGACCGGCACCGATTCTGAACCGTTGCGTCAACGAAGAAGCGACCTAATCCGCTGTCTCTACGGTTTTCTTCCTCTTCTGTTGTGATGCGATGACACGTTGATCCGTCGGAGGAGGAGAAGAAGACTCCGGATTCTGCTCCGGCAGAGTTGAAGAAGAGGCACAACAGCAGTGGTGAAACAAAGCGATTTAGGAAAAAATTAGGGTTTG